CAGGCACTGTATCTGGAGGCTGCGGTGTCTGGGGCGTCTTCCAGCGTTGGCGTAGAGGTGAGATGAGCAAACAGCCCTGGGGTGGCTGCTTGGGGGCGTCTGGGAGTCAGGAGATGCCAGGTGATGGGGGCATGACCCGGGCCCTGGGATTTGGGGGTATGGTAGTGAGGTGGGGAGACAGACAGGCCCCAGCACATGCATCTAGGGGGCAAGGGTGAGGAAGATGCACGGGCACTGGGCAGGGGAGAAGGCTGCTGCAAAGGAGGAGCAGGGGGATGGCAGGGAGGTCCATGCACTTATCTGGAGGACGCAGCCCTTCCTGAACCCCGGGGCCAAGTGGAGGCTCCTGAACAAAGGGGCTGGGGGTGGATGGGAGAGCCAGTGGCCAGGGCCTCGCGGCCTGCTGCCTCCCACCCTTGCCCACTGCAGCTGAGGAGCCCAGGGGTTGCAGATGCTCTGCCCTCCTGCCTTCAGGGCCCCGGCACAGATGATTTCCATGAGGTCAAGTTCCCCCCAGCCCCCGACGTACACACCCGCAGGGTCTGCCACCACCCCAGATCACAGCCTGCTCCGCCCAGGGAAGTTCAAGAGATGGCTTATCGCCCGCTCGTGCCAGCTGAGCAGGTGCAGGCCCTGCTCGATGCCCACCGGCCATCAGGGGAAGGGGCAGGCGGGCGGGAAGCAGAGCCCGCGAACTCTGTGAGCGGCGTGAGTTTTAAGAAACCCCAGTGCTGTATGCGTGCGTGTGCACAGGTCACCTGGTTGTGTGCATGCGTGTGCATGCGCAGGTAGAAGCAAAACCCAAGTTGGGCCCAGTTCACTGTCCCTTCCAGCACCCGCTCTCTGCTGCTGGGTGACATGGGAGACTGGGCAGGATGGACCCAGGGTTTGACCAGGCCAGGGCAGATCTAATGTTTGAGCGCTAGCTGCGAGCCCTGCAGGCAGGTCACTGGGCGCCACTGGAGGGGTGGGTTGTGCAGGGGGGAAGTGGCAGGTCGGACCCCGGGGTGTCGGGGGGCTGGGCTGGGCGGTGCTGCGGAGGGGGAAGCATGGAGCGGGAAGCGGGCTGGGGCTGTGTCTTGTAGCTGCTGGCTGGGCTGGTCAATTATCATACAGGATGTGGGTTCCTCTTGCAGCCTGGAGATATCACACGTTTGCCTTCTTGAACTCTGGTGTTAAGAGCAGCCGGTAGCTTGGGGGGGAGG